TATTAATTTTTTATTAAACAAGAGATTTATTGCATTGCTGTTGAATAAGAATTTATTCATCTTTTCATTTAGTAAATATCTATTGAATATTTGTACAGGCCCTAGGCAAGATGCCCCAGGGGAAAAAATTTTTGCATACACTTTCACTACAGTAACTGTCCCTTTTAAAATATACCGCTAGCATCCTTAGAAACATCTTTTATACAACTGTCTATAGTAGTTCCATGACTCGGGGTGGGAGTTGCCCAGCAATGATGAAATTTTCCCATTACTTGGGAGGCCATGTCATGAGCCCTTGTCTCTTTTTTGACTTCCCCACTTTTGAACCTATTTCCTGTCCTAGAAATATCTGCTCTGTGTGCATCTGGAGGGAGCTTGGCCACTAAGATGCCCCATCTCCCTGAGGGTACTGGAGGAGGTTCTGTGATCTAGCAGTGTCAGATATTGTCACACAGAGCTTTAAATCTGGAGCCACGAACCCAAAGAAACAGGTCACTTTAGAACTCTTCCCACTAGTAGTGACATTGATGTTCAGTATGTGCAGGTGACTGTGAGCCAAGCTAAGTGCCAGAGCACAGAGGGGGCAGGTGTGCCATGCAGGTGGGACCTATAGTGTGATACCCAGCAAGATTGGCCTCTTCTGGTTGTGGGTCACTGCAAACTGTGCTCTGCCCTGTGGGCAGGTGCTGGACATGGCACCTGTCCCCCATTAGGTCCATTGGAGTAAGCAAAACGGGTGGCACCAGTAGTTGAATTGCTGGAGGAATCAGTGCAGAGTTGGAGCAGTGAGAACACAGGCAAGAGACCTCCAGGCCTGCCTGGAAGAGCCAGTGAAGGTGTAAGCCTGGACGTAGTAGGAGCTTGCTAGACGTCTGCCTTTGGCAGCTTCTCCTGGGGAGAGAAGCAGCACACTGTGGGCTTCACCACATGTAGGCCATTGGATGACGGGAAGGAAGGTAGCTCCTCTGAACTAACATGCTGAGCTCATGTTTGGAAAGGTAGAGTTTGAGGGACAAGTGAGGCATTTAGTTTATCAGGCCAGGATCTGGAGTACAGACAGACTTGGAAACTGCAGTTGTTATCAGAGCTGATGTTTACTGATTGCTCCTTCTCCTCATCACTAATTTATGTCCAGTCATTTCGCTGTGCTATGCTGTTTCCAAGCATGAGCTCATTCAACTCTGAGTTAGTTCCTGTTACTCTTCCCATTTTGCAGAGAGGCAACTGCATAGACATTAAATGACCACCCATGCTCACATCCCTCCTGAGTGGCAGAGCCAGGCTGTATCGCAGTTCTGATGGGCCCCAGACCCTGTTCTGTCCACTGTGAGAGGTGGAGCTAGAATCACCTGTGGGACCAGGGCAGCAGGTGAGTGAAAGTAAGCTCACATTGTTAGTGAACAGTGGCCTGTCCCTACTGTCCATTTTCCTGGCCCCATAGGTTCTACAATATGTGTCCCTGACTTTATCTTCTAGGTTTATTTACTTATTGCCAATGTCTTTCATTAGAATTCAAGATCCAAGAGGGCAGGGACACTGCCTGTCTTTTCACAGCTGTTTATTGTGCTCCTAAAACACATTGTAGGTATTCAATAAATACTGTAAAAACAGGAATAATGCTCATTGTCATCATGAGTTTGCCGTGTGCCATGTGTTTGGTGTATCTTAACTCACTTATTCCCATGACTGTCCTTACCGCACTTAATGCTCACATGGGTAGAAAGGAGATCATGCTGGGATTCAGATGTGAGTACTGTGTCTCCAGGAATCAGTTGCTCAAACACTGATCTTTCCTAATTTTGTGAGTAAATGAATGATTATTTAAAAGATTTATATGAGCTATAAAAATCAATGTAGTAATATTTTTCAGAGTAAATCACTCATAAATTAAAATTTATTAATAATGATGTAACAGCTTTTCTTTTTAGGAAAAGTACAGTTGAGGGTCAAGTCAGGTGTCTAGAGAAGGACAGCTATATTTTAAAAATAGACTCAGGGTTCTGGAAAGTATATTATTATGGCATCAATTATAGTCTATTGATCTGTAAATAAATACTGTATTTTAAAGGCTTCTAAATCTGTCTCATGTATATTCCAGAAAGCTTATTATGCTTATCTCTTATGTACCTACCTCTTATGAGATGACTTTATAACAATAAACACATGTTAATTTTCATCATAATTTATTTGTTACTCTAAAAACTCTGTTCATTGCCTAACAGCTATATAATAGTTGAAATTTGGAGTTACAGTTGAGTTATGGTCAGTCTTGAAACAGAATTTAGTCTGTTAGAACCTTTGCCTAATACTTAACAGATGTGTTGGCTGATGCTTTCTCACTTAGCATTGAGTCTGAATAATGAGACAATTAGGCCATAAACCAATGTTCTTCTGGGCTCCTAGGTTAAATGTAGGGAAGGACAAATTACAGATGCTGGGAAATAGCCTTCATCAGCATAGAATTAAATTGTTACATTTTTTTCCAGACAGAGGCAGAAAGACCAAAGTGGCTCAAAACCAAATCTGCCATATAAAGTTAGTTATGTCATTTAATATTTATTTGTTTTAATCTATATTCAAATTTTAACTTTTTAATTCATGCATTAATTTTTATAGGTATACATTTTTCAAAATTTCCTCTCTATATCAAGAATAATTCCTGTGCTGGACTGTTCCGTCTTCTTTCCCTCTTCTGTCACCTACCCACATGTGTTCTTCTAGTCCCTTCATGGCTGAGTCTGTCGTGGCATTATCTCAGTATGGGTAGAACTTTGTATTACCTTTCAGATGGTAGCATGGTCTGAATAGACTTCATTTAAATGGACAACGGATAGTTGTGCCTCTGTTTATTCCAGACAGCTCTTAGTGATGCTGATGACACATTTTTTCTTTTCCCTGGATTTTGCCTCTTAATGACCCATCCCATGACATTAAAGCCATAAGCTTTGCATCTAAAAGTATTATAAGCTTGTGGTCCAGCACTTTGTTTGAGATTTAATTTTTATGGTGGTGATAGATAGAACATGTTCTTGTAATTCTGAGTGGTAAGAAGTGAAATGAGATCATTTGCTGGAAAATGTTATTGTGCACTTTTTGATTATTTGTCTTAGAGGTGCTGCTGATAAATCTGAATATATGTGTGTCTGTCTGGGTCAGTGTATCTCTGTGCATGCCTGCAAGTGTTGTGTGTGTATGTACATGTGTAACAAAGCTGTTGGATCGTTTGGAGACTGATACTTATAATGAAGATGATTTTGTCTTACTCTTGCATAGATCAAGACCAGGTTTGTCAGTGTCAAGGTAGAGCCTATTTATGCAAATAACAATGTTATTGGCTTCTTTACATGATTGTTTCTCTTTTGTAGCCCTTCTTGAATATATTATAATTTTTAAAGGACAATGAAAATTACTAGGTAATTCAACAGCGGCAGAGGGAAGGCCCTGAGTTATATGTCTTGTACTGAGTAACTGCTATTGTTGGCTTAGTTGTATTTCTTTAAAATGTGCTACATTGTTTGTTTTATTTAACTTTGATTACTGTTTTTACATTACATATTTGTACATGGAAGTTGAAATAAATACGATGTAAAGTAAAAAAATGTGGTTTTTTATACTCAATTCCAAAGATTTATAAGAAAAAGCCATTTTCTTTTTCTGAAACAATAAATATATATGTGATCTTTAAGACCAGTGTGGAATCTATATCAGTGCACTAATGTTTCAGGTATTTAGTGACTTATTCTTAAATTTATCTGTAATGATAGTTGCCAGGAATGTAGTTTTATAGCTAATATAAAACACAACAGAATATAATAAAGCTTGTTAGAGAAAAGCAGTTCAAGCATATTGTATTATAACAACTTGAAATACAGCAGGCAGTGTTTTTACTTTAAGGCTAACAATCATAGCCTTAATATAAATCTCTCTGCATATATAGGTGAATGTTTGTTTATATAACCACAGTTGTGCTTCATTTCTCAACCTTAGTTTCTTCTGTTTATAAATGTATGAATTCCATCATTATACTATTCCTTATGTACCTGACTAATAGTGTACCGTATTTCTAGTACTGAGACCAAAACTTTCATTTCTATGATGTTTTATTAGCATACCTCTTTAAAATGCTGGGCATGGTGATACATGCTTATAATCCCAGTATTTTGAATGCCAAGGCAGGAGTCTTACTGGCAGTTTGAGGCCAGGCTGGACAACGTAGTGAATTTAGGATTAGCATAAACTACATGGTGAGACCCTTTCTCAAAAAAACAAAAAAAGCTGTGTGTGGTGATGTACATACCTATAATCTCAGCACTCAAGAGGCTGAGGCAGGAGGACCACTGTGAGTGAGAGGCCAGCTTGGGCTTCATAGTGAGTTCAAGGCCAGCCTGCACTACATAGTGAAATCCTGTCTCAAAAAATAAAACAAAAGAAACCTTTATTTTTATAGCATTTTGTTTTATCATTTATTACTATTATTTAGAGTATTTTAAATAATTTTTTCCACATAAAGTAGATTAGATATTGTACTTTCTTGTTCAGCCAGAGAGTTTATTTAACATGGTTTACATATAATTTTTTTTTTTGTATTTTACAATGACTTTATTAAAAGCTTTCCGACATTGCTTACATACACGGGTTCGCTCCCCAGTGTGAACATATAATGTTTATAAAATAAAAATATTGGTTTTGTGTCTTTGAGTTATCTCTGATCAGCCCCAGTGGACTCCTCCCTTTCACTTCTTCGCAAATCTGCAGATTTCTGAATGGCTCCCAGTTTCACTGCAAACCTTCTTTGTGGGTCTTGAGCAGGACTGGTGGTGGGGCAGTTGTGTGGATTCAGCCAGGGTACTCCACTTGCGGTGGCTCCTGACACAAATTAGATAAAAGAGAATGAGTGACATGGAGAGAACAGGTTAGAACTCTAGCCATAGCTGTGCCAGTCATTTAATGTGGTGCCCTGTTGTATCCTGACCTATCTTCTTTGATCATTGTGTTTTCAGGAACTCCCCAGGGTCCTCCTTCTCCATCAGCTGGCTACGCAGGAAGGTGCATGGACCATACTTCCATTGTTACCACAGTATGTGTGTTTAACTTAAAATTACTAACATTGCAGCCTCAATTCTCTTGTGTTCACTAGTTTTCTTATTTAGTGGGGGTGTTTTTCCTCAGTAAATGAGATAAATTTGAGTCTTTTATGATTACTCTATGAGCCAGGTTTCCTGATGATTGGTTTTTAATCATGCAAAACTTTTATTTTTAAATGTATTTTTTAAATAAAATTAATCAAATTGGTATTTGAAAATTATTTATCTTCTGGACTGCTGGTATTACAGAGAGAAGGAACATTAAGAACTCCAGCTGTTCCTTACATCAGTACTATAAGAGGAAAACCGCCCACATGTCTCCTCATTTATCACCTTTTTCTTATTTGCCCTTTATCAGTTTCCTACATAACAGTTTTAAATCTTATTGTCAATTCAATTTACACAAAATGATTACTGTAACATATTTCTTTTTGTTAGCTTTTCTATAACATATAGCAGAAATTCATCATGGATTTTCTTCTGTGAAGAAGAGACAAGAATTCAAATTCCAAAACTCTTAGAAACACTCAGACGCTATGACCCATCGAAGGTGAGTACAACTTTGATATCAGCACTTTTCTTTGGGGGCATTGCTTCAAAGCATGTTTAACTTGGATTAAGAGATATTTGTATAATAAAAACACTTGATTTCACGTTCAAATAATATTTGGTCTGGAACCTATGGTAAAAATATTTTCTCTAAGGTTTACAGCTTACGGAGGGATGGGATGTATAATGAGCTATTTTAATCGAAAAGAAGTCTGTTTACATGTGTTAGCAATTTCAGAGATTTAAAAAACAATGCTTAGGATTCTGTGATAGTTTACCCTAGAAAAAAACAAGTTATTTTTCTTTATCAGATAATAGCACATGTATTATTTTATATAGAAATATTTTTGGAGTATTACTCAGTTATAAAAAATGATAAACTCAAAGCCTTTATATTGAAGTGGATGCCACTTGAACATATACTCATAAGTGAAATAAACCGGACACACATGTGTAAATATCGTATAGTTTCCCTAGTATAAGAACTCAAAAGAAGAAATACAAATAGAAAGGTATAATACAAGTAAAAGG